GAGAGAGAGAGAGAGAGAGAGAGAGAGAGAGAGAGAGAGAGAGAGAGAGAGAGAGAGAGAGAAACGGAGGACCCTCACGTGCGTCATGGCGCTATGAAGCCACACGTACTTCGTGGTAAACCAGTTTCTGCGGTAACCAGTTACTGTTGAGTCAGTGTTGACTATGCAGGATACATCAGAAAAATACAAACAACAGAAGCAGACAACATGACATTGTAGGGATACCCGCATAGACCTTAATAATGACAGATGGTTCGGAGGGACTGGCTGAACCCCCAACAGTCTGCAAATGACAATGCTTTGAGACATAACCTGCATCAGACGTTGTTGCCAGTGGGCAAACACAGCAAAAGGTGCAGTGCGTCATGGACAAGGGAACTTATAGCAAGGCATAATGGGCGGGCAGGCGCTTAGAGGGGCGGGCACACATCAACACAACCAGGCGCGCAGCACGATAAGCGCTAGGCAGCGCATGGTGGGTGAGAACACAGCACGGCACACAGCATGGTATGCGCCAGGAAGTATAGCATCGACTATTTGGCACATCTTGAAGGTGCTGCTGTACGGGGCTCTGGCCTTGCAGAAAATGAACTCGTCCCCGCGACCGCAACTTTCGGGGCCGGCCCGCCGTTGATAGATATCATCGAATTGCATGGTCTTTGTCGCATTTCCGGCGTCCGAAAGTCGCTGTGAGGGGGCGGCGGCCGATGTATGGCCGTGCACTGGCGGTTTAAAGGTGCTGTTGTTGGACACTCACGACAGCACAGGGAAAACACAGAGAGAGCAAACAAACCACCCACGAATGTGAAGATGTGTGCCTGTAATCAAAATGATACTTAGAATGTACAGTTAGAGATGAAAAAAAGTACATGAAATTTAGTTTGAAAATCAAGGACATAAGATCACTTTGGAAATTACTCCTAATTAGTATGAACCTTAAAGGGGGCCGGTTTAAAAAAAAAAAAAAAAAAAAAAAAAAAAAAAAAAAAAAAAAAAAAACCGAGTTATCCCCAGCCTATAGGGTATTGCTATAATAGCATTGTGTGTGGTTGTGTGTGGGTGTGTGTGGGTGTGTGTGGGTGTGTGTGGGCGTGTGCGGGTGTGTGTGGGTGTGTGTGGACGTGTGACACAGAGAAACACACACACAAAACAACAAACAAAGAAAGTATAAGATCTGTCCGGTCAAAGATCACTAGAATCGGTGATGATCCTGGGGATACTCAGGTAGGACCTTGGGAGGAGGGATGCGCCGGGGATCGTGATGATTAGTAATGGTGGGAGGGCGTCTCATAGGAGACCGGTTAGTAGGCAATACATCGGGATGATCAAATGGTCAGGTGCTGACGGGCCTGTCATATGCCTGGTAGCCAGCCTCTCCAACAACCTGGACTTGAAAAAAATAAAAAAGAAACAAACAAGGAGAGAATGGATGAGGGAAGGAGGAAGGAAGGGGGGGGGGGGGGGGAGAAGGTGAAAGAAGAAAGAAGATATTCACACCCATCATCCTGACATCCATCACTGTTCATGTGGTTCATTAGGAAGTCGACCAGCCAGCCTCCATCAGAAACGGCAACATTTTTGCTTGTAGAGCGTCGGGCTGCACAATTTTGCTGCCCAAAACCTTTTTTCCCTTCAAGTTTTGGGCATCACTTTTGCCGCCCACGTTCTCTTTTTCCCCCTTCAAAATAACTATGGCCGCAGCATACTTTTTGAAACTGATGTGCAATACAAACTCGTTTTTGCACTTTACTTGTGCACGAGCAAACATGAGCAAACATCATACTTGCGGCGCACTGCAGCCGTGCACGCTGCGCTGCGCGGGCTGACAGGTTCTGCGCACGTGCGCATGCACGTGCGCATACGCAGTGCGCATGCGCTGGTCTGTGCTGCGCTGCGCGCGCACGTGCGGGACAGCGTTGGGGGTGGTGCGCGTCATGCGCCAGCCACCAGCCTGTTTTTTTTTGGGGGGGGGGGGTATGGTTGGGGGGTGGGGGCCGAGGTGGGGGCAATCTGTGTCCACGCAGCTGTGGTGTGGGTTGCGTGCGTGGGTTTGGACAGCTGTGCAGAGTCTGCAGACCTCTGCCACTCGTGTCGTCAGAGCATACGTTCAGACAGCGTTGCAGCAAACGTGGGTATGTGCTGCACACGTTCAGGCAGCGTTGCAGCACATTCAGACTTGGAGGACTCGGACAAACAGCATATCAACAATCACATTCAGAGTCTTTTCAGACAGGTTGATGCAAAAATTTAGACAATGTTGCAGCTCAAGTTGCAGAAGCAGCAGAACACAATTCCATAACAGAGGGTGTCGAAAAAGAACATACCTGCAGGTGTAATCAATTAACAATTTAACAGCGACGGACCAGACAGCAACATGTCATAACATGCACAACATTCAACAGACGACAATTGGATAGCACCAGCAGACCACCGTAAGCATTGGACTAGCGGCAAGACGCGACCTTTACAAACTGACATCAGTTAAAAAAGACATTGTCGGACAATGTGGCGGGAACAAAGTTCAACCAACTTCAAAAAAAGTTCAGAATCGAGACAATAGTCGTTTGCAAGTTTATCAAAGCACAGAAAAGGAAACAGCTTCATCAAAACTCAGAAACAAAGTTCAACCTCAACTTTATAAAAACTCAGAATCCAGATCCATCATACTCCACGTCCAGTCTGTCCCCGTCCTACACCTCCGCCCCTTCAGCTTCGGATTCTTCACCATTGCTTTTTTCGGACCCGGCCTCGGATTCTTCCATGTCCTCCCCCTCTGCTCCCCCCTCCTGCGAAGAGTGTTCATCGGACTCCTCTCCGCTATCTCCCTCATCCGTGTCTTCGGACGAGCTGGACGAGGACTCATCGTCCCCTGACGGGTCGTCCTCGATCACATCCACGGAGGCAACCTTTTTTTTTTTTTTTCAGGCCTTGTCGGTCGCGGCTTTCGCTGCGGCCGCTTCCTCTGCTGCTTTAGCAGCCTTGGCTGCTGCCAGCTCAGTCTTCTTTGCTGCAGCTTCAGCCAACGATGGTCGACCCCTCTTCTTCTTTGGCTGGGCCACGCACACCTCAGCTTCAGCCCCTCCCACCTCGCCCGCCGCTCGTGCTCTTTTCCTCACACGCTTTTGCCTGTTGGTTGACTCCCGTCGACCTTCCACCCAAGTGCCTGCTAGTCGTGCCTCCAGTGCAGCCGCCCGATCTGCCTCAGTGTACACAACTGATGACGGAGGCAGCGAGCTGCCAGATCTTCTCTGCAGGTCTTGCTTTCTGCGACGGCCAGGTTTAGTGCACTCATGCCATTCCCTTTCCAACGAACCCAACAGAGCCATGTCCTCCTCGTCGCATTCCTTGTCATTTGCGACATCATTTCGCTGCCACGTCCGCATCAATGGCTCCGAACCGTCCTCTTCACCCACCTCCGCATCTTTTGCCACCACATCGGCATCAGCAGCAACAGCATGTGTTGTACTATTCCCTGATCTCTGCCTCCACCGGCGTATCGTCCTCCCATGGAATGTGCACTTCCCCCCCGTCTACCCGCAAGGCCGCCCGCGGCAGTTAGGTGTTCCAGTTGCTGTACACCAACTTGCCCAGCCTCTCTGGCAGCAACTTCGTACGCCTGCGCCCGAAAATAAGCTCGTGCAAGTTCCAATTCCGCTCACATGCGGCGGAGGAGCTTGCCTGGCCCAGCAATTTGACCGCTTGTGGCTGGAGTAGGTCCAACTTCCCGCAGTAAGCCTCCCACCACAGAGCCGCGGGCTGCACACGTGCTGCTTCCGCGGCGTCTTGCGATTTGAACGACCCGTTCAAGTTAACCCACATGTCAACCTGCTGGCTGAGCTCGTCGCGTGTCCGCTGGTCGTCCGGCGCCCACGAGAGAAGCCAAATGTTGAATCCGGCGCACACCTCAGGATCTCGCAAGGCATTCGTGGGACGGTGCTCCGGATCGAAGAACGCAGCAGCGCAATGCAGCTCGCTGGTCATGAACGCCCATCTCCGCATCAAGATGTCCTCTATTTCCGCCTTCTCGCCCGCCGTGATGCATTCAAGCTCCTGCATCCGTGCGACGAGCGAATCCATCTTGAAGTACACCTTCGACATGGACGGCCCCGACGCATCAATAAGATGAAGCAGCGTCACTACTGGTCCCATCACCGCCAGCGCCTTGTCGACCGTCGCCCAAAAGCCGTCCTTCCCCACCACAATGGCCGTCACCTTGTGGAACGCAGCGAGCTGGTCCGTCCTGACCATCTTCTCCACCCACGCAGCGTCGTCGATGCAATTCTTCAACGGGTTCTTGGCCTTCTTCAAGAAAGCAAGCATCTCATGGTTGGTCGCAAAACGGGTCACCCCCGACCGCTTCAACTTGGAGTTCGGACTGTACACGTGGAACAACGCCCTTGCCTTGTCCACGTTGTGGAAAAACTTGCCCACCTTCAACCCTGTGTCCACAACATTGCGCAACCACTCCAGTTCCTTGTACATGTCCTCGAGTGCCAAATCAAGGGCATGTGCAGTGCACCCCATGCGAAAGATGCGTGGGTAGGCCGCCTCCACCATCTTGCCCGCCTTGACGCACACTCTCGCGTTGTCCATCACAACGCCCACCACCGCCTCCTCGCCGATCTCCTTGATAACTCCATCCGATATCCGGAAGTACGTCGCCGCATCCTTCTCCTTCCCCTCCATGCATGTGGTCTTCCAGAATACCGTTCCGATCCCAGATGACACCATGACATTAATGTACGGCCGGTTGCGCCTGTCTGACCAGCCATCCATCTGCAGCATGCAACCGGTGCGGTGCCACTTCTTGACCATGGCGTGCACATCCACCTTCGTCCTTCTGTAATGACCATCCAACCGCTTCGTCCGCACCTCATCCCTCTTGTATGGCATCCACGAAGGATACGCCTTCTTCACAGCATCAACGAATTCAAGGAAGTATTCGTTGTCAACGATGCTGAAAGGCTGGTTCGTGCAGAAAAGGAATCGGTCAAGGAACTGACTCGTTTGCTCGTTACGTCTTACGATGATGTTGGCGTCCTCCATGACCGTTTGCCTCAGCGGCCGTCTAGAACGGGGTGCAGGCTGCACGGACTCGCCAAAGGTAGGCGCGATCGCTGCGGGCTCATCGGCCACAACCGCCTCTCCCGTCCCTGCAGGCGAGTCACTGCGACCTCGCTCAACGTCAGCAACCAGACTATTAACGGACGCCAGGCTGTTTGTGGCCGGCCTGCTTCTCCCCCCCGCGTGTATGGTCTCAGCAATGAACTTCCCCATGAGGATGCCCTCCTCCCTCCTTGCCCTCTCCTCGACTGACAGCGGCCTCCTGACGCGGTCCAAGCTGCACCTGTTCAAGAAATGGTTCTTTAGAACCGAGGCTGTGCCATCGAACTGAGTCTTGCAGTACTTGCAGACCCAGTGCTTGGAACCCTTGCCCGGGTTTGACCCTGCGGCACCATCATTGATGAAGTGCTTCTTCAAGTCCTCATGCAACTGCCGCAAGTATGCCATGATGAATTTGCAAACAGCGCAAAAAACAATGACAACACCTGTCAGCTTCATGTGACAAAAAAACAAAAAAAAACAAAGGAAAAAGAGAGAGAGATAGAGATCTGCATGGCCGCTAAGCGAGCGAGAGAGAGAGAGAGAGAGAGAGAGCAGGTAGAGAGGAGGTAGAGAGAGAAACGGGTGGAGAGAGAGA